CCGACACAGTACCTGAGAGGGCAGACTCACCAGTACCTGAGAGCACAGACGCACTGGCACCTAGAGCAGCAGCCTCACTGGCACCTGACGTAGCAGTACCAATGCCCGGGTCGGGCGGGAAACACCGGTAACAGTCACCATCATCACTAACAGTCACAGCATACATGGCAGCAAGGATAGCACCAAAGTCAAGATCAAAAACAGCTACACCAGCCCCTAGACAGCTCTCCCCAGCGGGGGATCTCAGAGGCCTCCGGAAACTGCTGGCGCCAAGCGTCGGTCAAGCGGGCAAAGCAGCGACGAGCGGTGTGGGTGCCCCCACACTGCTCACCCGCGCGGTCGCCGGTGCGAAGGACGTAGGTGCAGGGACCGAACGCCCCACCACGCTGACGCTGCGAGTACCACTCACGGAGCTGCTGAGGGGCGGGGACGTCGCGAGAGCGCTGCTGCTGCTGCTGCTGCTGCTGCTGCTGCTGGCGCTGACCACCCCCAGTGCTGCCTCGCTGGGACGAGCCACTCCGACCACCTCCACCACCGCCACCTCCGCCTCCGCCGCCACCGCCGCCACCGCTACCCTCGCCCCCGCCGCTCCCACTGCCACCTCCGCCACCACCTCCGCTGCCACCTCCGCCTCCACTGCCGCCACCAGTACCTCCACTCCCGGCTCCACCCCCACCGCCACCCCCACTCCCCCCGCCGCCCCCACCTCCTCCGCCACCGCCCCCGCTAGCTCCACCCGCTCCCTTGCCCCCCTTGCTCCTGCCAGAGCGGCGCCTACCGCTGGGGGCAGACGCCGCACCGACCGACTCTAAACCAACGAGGTCGGCCGCAACAGCAGAGGCGACAGAGGGTAACAGGGGGGAAGGAGAACACCCCTCAAAGATGGGGGTGCGCGGGTCACCACGAGAGGCCCCTACAGCGACTATGCTCTTCTCGGCCGCTAGCAGGGACTTCTCGAGGAGGTCGACAGTGAGGGTGGTGGGACAGACAGAGAGAAACTGGTCCCTAACAGCACGATGGGACTCAGGGAGACGGGTGACTAGAAAGTAGAGGGTGATGTACATGGGAGGGGGGTTTTCAGAGAGGAAGGCAGCAGGAAGCGCAGCTCGGTAGCGAGTGTCACTAGCGCGAAGGTGGGTAAAGAGGTCAGTGACTGTGGGAAAGGCAGCAAGGTCAGGGAAGAGGTACGGTAGCATGAGGCGGCTCAGTGTAGAAGTGGAAGGGGAGGAGTAGCGCGCAACTACAGCGTCGTACAAGGCCTGAGCGGTCTTGCACTGACTAAAGTGTGCACGCTCGGAGGAAGGGAGGTGGCGACGCACAGCAAGACGTGCAGCAGCATCGCGTGTGGCCCACTTGGAGCGAACAGTGGGGTCAGCATCAGCAAGAGGGGCAGGGACAGCGCCAGAGACAAAGTCAAAGAGAGAAACCTCATCGATCGCATCGCACAGTAAGTACAGTTGCAGGTCCTCAATCCAGACTGCAAAGTCAATGGCGCGACCCTCAGCGTCAAAAGTCAGGACACTGGGGGTGGCCATTGTAGCAGCTGACAGTCTCACCGGGCAGGAAGAGTCGGGTAGCACAGCGGCACAGCAACACGGCAGTACAGCAGCTGCGCCGGCCCAGGAGCAGTGGGAGCCCCACAGGAGCAGAAGATCGGCTCCTCGGGCGGCTCGGGCGGCTCGGGCGGCTCGGGCGGCGTGGGCGTCTCGCGGGCGGCTCGCAGGCGGCTCGCGGGCGGCTCACAGGCGGCAGCACGGGCGGCTGGTGCGGCTCGTGGACAGCTGCACGGGCGGCTGGGGCGGCGAGCGGGCGGCTCACGGGCGGCTGCACGGGCGGCCGAGGCGGCTCACGGGCGACTGGGGCGGCTGCACGGGCTGCTGGGGCGGCTCGCAGGCTGCTCACGGGCGGCTGCACTGGCGGCCGCACGGGTAGGTGCACGGGCGGGTGCACGGGCGGCCGCACGGGTAGGTGTACGGGCAGGTGCACGGGCGGGTACACGGGCGGGTGCACGGGCGGGCACACGGGCGGCTGCACGGGCTGCTCGTCGGGCGGCGCTAGGGCGGCGCGTGGGCGGCGCGACGGGCGGCGTTAGGGCGGGCAGCGGGCAGCGCTACGGGCGGCGCGTTGGGCAGCGCGACGGGCGGCGCTAGGGCGGCTGCACGGGCAGCGCGACGGGCTGCGCTAGGGCGGCGCGTTGGGCGGCGCTAGGGCGGCGCGTCGGGCAGCGCGTCGGGCGGCGCTAGGCTGGCGCGTCGAGCGGCGCTAGGGCGGCGCTAGGGCAGCGCGTTGGGCAGCGCTGTGGGCGGCGCGTCGGGCGGCTAGCGCTAGAGCAGGCAGCGGACGGGCGCTAGGGCGCTAGGGGCGGCGCTCACGTTCGAGGGCGGGCGGTGCGCTAGCGGCTAGGGCAGAAAAAAAAAGACGTTTCGAGGTGGTGGGCCCTAAGCACAGGTCCCACAGGGGAACCTGCTCGATACCATGAGAAGAAGTGAACGAGAATGAATGAACTATGAATGAAGTGAGTACAAATATGAAACCCTAATTGGGTTGTACCCCCTATGGGATACCCCACTATAGCCTACACAAATAAGTAAGCTATAATGTTCTGACAACTTCAACCTCCGAGAGTTGACTCGCTAGTGCCTCGGTATGCAGTGCTTCGCTTGTGCCTTAGTGTTTCGACACGACAGAAGCGCTTAGGACCGATTGTTTCCAACAATATGAAGCCCTCCCTCAACAATAGCGTCCCATAGCCCTACCACCTTCTTCAGCTCTATAAACATTTTGTCCGTAGGGTAATAGCAAAAAACGAGCTAAAAAAGGAACACTCCAAACACGTATACGTCAGCTGTAGGGTATAATTGGCACGTGTGCCAATAGTCTGGGTCGAGGTAGCCACTTGAGCCCTTCATGTGTGTTGTCACGTGCGTTTTCCAGTCCTCAATAGTGCGAGCCAAACCAAAGTCAGCCACCACTGGAGTAAGATCCTGCGGGTGATGGGTTGTGGTTAGAGGGGAGTGGGACATAGTAAAGTTATACCAAACCAGCTTAAATGAGATTGTATGAGACATGAGTTAAACGAAAGGATCATGTAGCTGGAGTGGATACAATGCAGAAAAAGAATATTAGCACAAACAAACCAAGGAATGATTATTTTTCAAGGAAAGCGACAAAATACACTGTACCTTTCGCAACAACACATTCGGCGACTTGAAATCGCGTTGAATGAATCTCTTTTCGTGAATGATAGCCAACGCCTCGGCACATCCCAGCGCAACCTTCACACGGTATTTCCACGGAAACCGTGCTTTGCTCTTGCGGACGGGATGGGGGGACGCGAGGGAGAGAGGGGGAAAGGGGAGAGGTGGAGAGAGGGAATGGGGAGGAGGGTAAGTGGTTGAAGGAGATGGGTTCAAAACAGAGTAGGAGCAAGAAAAGTTGAGACCTCACATACCAAAACAACATGAGAGAAGCAGTGATAACAGTTGTTGACCTGTGACAGCTGTTATGCACTGTCATTACAACCTGTGAAACATGCAAACTAGGCCAATTGTAGAGCGAGACGAGAGAAATTGTGAGGACGAACATGGGAGGCAAAACTGGGTGGAGGGGGAAGGGAAGGGAGAGGATACGGAGAGGGTTTAAGGAGAGGGGATTTTTCTCACCTCGTGTGAGCAAAGCCCTGACGTCGCCAAACGGGATGAGCTCATAAACAAAAAGCGGCCTCTCCTCCATGTTGAGCGCCATGCCTTCCAACCTCAGAATGTTGGGATGGTTCATTGCTAACATGGCTGCCACCTCAGCCTGAAAACACGGAACAAGGAGTGTTAGAATGAATGAAATGCCCGAAAGCACAAATGATGGTTACATTGTTTTTGGATTCTTGGTCTTTATCATGTGTTGTTTTCTTCCCGTTTTGGCCGTCACAGATACACCCACAGGATACGTTCTGCAACACTCAGTGTTGAGAGCATTCACATGCTACTCTCACAGAGCACACTCACCTGCTACTCTCTCAGAGCACACTCACCTGCTACTCTCTCAGACCACACTCACCTGCTACTCTCTCAGACCACACTCACCTGCTACTCTCTCAGACTACACTCACCTGCTACTCTCACAGACCACACTCACCTGCTACTCTCTCAGACCACACTCACCTGCTACTCTCACAAACCACACTCACTTGCTAGTCTCAGAGACCACACTTACCTGCTGCTCTAACGGACCACACTCACCTGTTATTCTCACAGACCACACTCACCTGTTACTCTCACAGACCACACTTACTTGCTACTCTCTCAGACCACACTCACCTGCTTCTCTCTCAAACCACACTCACCTGCTACTCTCACAGACCACACTCACCTGTTACTCTCACAGACCACACTCACTTGCTACTCTCACAGACCACACTCACCTGCTACTCTCTCAGACCACACTCACCTGCTACTCTCTCAGACCACACTCACCTGTTACTCTCACAGACCACACTCACCTGCTACTCTCTCAGACCACACTCACCTACTACTCTCACAGACCACACTCACCTGCTATTCTCACATACCACACTCACCTGCTACCCTCACAGACCACACTCACCTACTACTCTCTCAGACCACACTCACCTGCTATTCTCACAGACCACACTCACCTGCTACTCTCTCAGACCACACTCACCTACTACTCTCATCGACCACACTCACCTGTTACTCTCACAGACCACACCCACCTGCTACTCTCACAGACCACTCTCACCTGCTACTCTCACACAGCACAATCACCTGTTCAGAACGCTTTTGCTCTGGGAGCACTCACCTGGTCAGAACGTTTTTCCATTAGAGTGCTAACCTGGTCAAAACATTTTTCCATTAGAGCGCTCACCTGGTCAGAACATTTTTCCATTAGAGCACTCACCTGTATGAAGATGTGTTTTGAGACGTCTCAAAACACTCACCTGGTGAAATTTTTTTTTGCTGTGAGGACGTTCACCTGGAAATCATTCAGAACGCTTTTGCTCTAGGAGCGCTCACCTGGAAGTCATTCAGCTCCTGATTGTTGAACTGCTTTCCTTTCGTCACTTTCACCGCCACCTCGCACTCCCTCATCTCGTCATCGCCTGCGTCGTATCCAGCAACAGATGCGCTGCTTCCGCCGACAGATGCGCTGCTTCTGCTGCCACTGGCGCTGCTTCTGCCCGCAGGCAGCACCATCCGCCCGCGGTACACCTTTCCGAAGCCCCCTTTCCCCAATAAGTCCGAAAACCCCTCGTCGCCGCCACCAGCTCCGCGTAACTGAAATGGCGTAGCGGATGGAGGCCGGCGGACGTCCGCTTGGACACGGAGTCGCGCGCGGAGCCCATGGCCGAGATATGCGCGGGGAGAGAGGACTCGGCGGAGGAACTGGTGGGGAGAAGCAGCGGCGGCTGTTGCGCGGACGTGGCAGCGGAAAAACTCGACGAGTCCGATTTGCGGTAGGATTGGGGGTTGAAACACGACGAGTCCGACTGGTAGGCTTGGGGGTTGAAACACGACGAGTCCGACTGGTAGGCTTGGGGGTTGAAACACGACGAGTCCGACTGGTAGGCTTGGGGGTTGAAACACGACGAGTCCGACTGGTAGGCTTGGGGGTTGAAACACGACGAGTCCGACTGGTAGGCTTGGGGGTTGAAACACGACGAGTCCGACTCGTAGGCTTGGGGGTTGAAACACGACGAGTCCGACTGGTAGGCTTGGGGGTTGAAACACGACGAGTCCGACTGGTAGGCTTGGGGGTTGAAACACGACGAGTCCGACTGGTAGGCTTGGGGGTTGAAACACGACGAGTCCGACTGGTAGGCTTGGGGGTTGAAACACGACTGAGTCCGGATGGTAGGCTTGGGGGTTGAAACACGACGAGTCCGACTGGTAGGCTTGGGGGTTGAAACACGACGAGTCTGGATGGTGGGCTTGGGGGTTGAAACACGACGAGTCCGACTGGTAGGCTTGGGGGTTGAAACACGACGAGTCCGGATGGTAGGCTTGGGGGTTGAAACACGATGAGTCCGACTGGTAGGCTTGGGGGTTGAAACACGACGAGTCCGACTGGTAGGCTTGGGGGTTGAAACACGACCAGTCCGACTGGTAGGCTTGGGGGTTGAAACACGACGAGTCCGGATGGTAGGCTTGGGGGTTGAAACACGACGAGCCCGACTGGTAGGCTTGGGGGTTGAAACACGACGAGTCCGTCTGGTAGGCTTGGGGGTTGAAACACGACGAGTCCGACTGGTAGGCTTGGGGGTTGAAACACGACGAGTCCGACTGGTAGGCTTGGGGGTTGAAACACGACGAGTCCGACTGGTAGGCTTGGGGGTTGAAACACGACGAGTCAGACTGGTAGGCTTGGGGGTTGAAACACGACGAGTCCGACTGGTAGGCTTGGGGGTTGAAAGACGACGAGTCCGGATGGTAGGCTTGGGGGTTGAAACACGACGAGTCCGTCTGGTAGGCTTGGGGGTTGAAACACGACAAGTCCGGATGGTAGGCTTGGGGGTTGAAACACGACGAGTCCGTCTCGTAGGCTTGGGGGTTGAAACACGACGACTCCGACTGGTAGGCTTGGGGGTTGAAACACGACGAGTCCGACTGGTAGGCTTGGGGGTTGAAACACGACGAGTCCGACTGGTAGGCTTGGGGGTTGAAACACGACGAGTCCGGATGGTAGGCTTGGGGGTTGAAACACGACGAGTCCGACTCGTAGGCTTGGGGGTTGAAACACGACGAGTCCGACTGGTAGGCTTGGGGGTTGAAACACGACGAGTCCGACTGGTAAGCTTGGGGGTTGAAACACGACGAGTCCGGATGGTAGGCTTGGGGGTTGAAACACGACGAGTCCGACTGGTTGGCTTGGGGGTTGAAACACGACGAGTACGGATGGTAGGCTTGGGGGTTGAAACACGACGAGTCCGACTGGTAGGCTTGGGGGTTGAAACACGACGAGTCCGACTGGTAGGCTTGGGGGTTGAAACACGACGAGTCCGACTGGTAGGCTTGGGGGTTGAAACACGACGAGTCCGACTGGTAGGCTTGGGGGTTGAAACATGACGAGTCCGACTGGTAGGCTTGGGGGTTGAAACACGACGAGTCCGACTGGTAGGCTTGGGGGTTGAAACACGACGAGTCCGACTGGTAGGCTTGGGGGTTGAAACACGACGAGTCCGACTGGTAGGCTTGGGGGTTGAAACACGACGAGTCCTGACTGGTAGGCTTGGGGGTTGAAACACGACGAGTCCGACTGGTAGGCTTGGGGGTTGAAACACGACGAGTCCGGATGGTAGGCTTGGGGGTTGAAACACGACGAGTCCGACTGGTTGGCTTGGGGGTTGAAACACGACGAGTACGGATGGTAGGCTTGGGGGTTGAAACACGACGAGTATGTCTCGTAGGCTTGGGGGTTGAAACACGACGACTCCGACTGGTAGGCTTGGGGGTTGAAACACGACGAGTCCGACTGGTAGGCTTGGGGGTTGAAACACGACGAGTCCGACTCGTAGGCTTGGGGGTTGAAACACGACGAGTCCGACTGGTAGGCTTGGGGGTTGAAACACGACGAGTCCGATTGGTAGGCTTGGGGGTTGAAACACGACGAGTCCGGATGGTAGGCTTGGGGGTTGAAACACGACGAGCCCGACTAGTAGGCTTGGGGGTTGAAACACGACGAGTCCGACTGGTAGGCTTGGGTGTTGAAACACAACGAGTCCGACTGGTAGGCTTGGGGGTTGAAACACGACGAGTCCGACTGGTAGGCTTGGGGGTTGAAACACGACGAGTCCGGATGGTAGGCTTGGGGGTTGAAACACGACGAGTCCGACTGGTAGGCTTGGGGGTTGAAACACAACGAGTCCGGATGGTAGGCTTGGGGGTTGAAACACGACGAGTCCGACTGGTAGGCTTGGGGGTTGAAACACGACGAGTCCGACTGGTAGGCTTGGGGGTTGAAACACGACGAGTCCGACTGGTAGGCTTGGGGGTTGAAACACGACGAGTCCGACTGGTAGGCTTGGGGGTTGAAACACGACGAGTCCGACTGGTAGGCTTGGGGGTTGAAACACGACGAGTCTGACTCGTAGGCTTGGGGGTTGAAACACGACGAGTCCGACTGGTAGGCTTGGGGGTTGAAACACGACGAGTCCGACTGGTAGGCTCGGGGGTTGAAACACGACGAGTCGGACTGGTAGGCTCGGGGGTTGAAACACGACGAGTCCGACTGGTAGGCTCGGGGGTTGAAACACGACGAGTCCGACTGGTAGGCTTGGGGGTTGAAACACGACGAGTCCGGATGGTAGGCTTGGGGGTTGAAACACGACGAGTCCGACTGGTAGGCTCGGGGGTTGAAACACGACGAGTCCGACTGGTAGGCTCGGGGGTTGAAACACGACGAGTCCGACTGGTAGGCTCGGGGGTTGAAACACGACGAGTCCGACTGGTAGGCTTGGGGGTTGAAACACGACGAGTCCGGATGGTAGGCTTGGGGGTTGAAACACGACGAGTCCGACTTGTAGGCTTGGGGGTTGAAACACGACGAGTCCGACTGGTAGGCTTGGGGGTTGAAACACGACGAGCCCGACTGGTAGGCTTGGGGGTTGAAACACGACGAGCCCGACTGGTAGGCTTGGGGGTTGACACACGACGAGTCCGACTGGTAGGCTTGGGGGTTGAAACACGACGAGTCCGACTGGTAGGCTTGGGGGTTGAAACACGACGAGCCCGGCTGGTAGGCTTGGGGGTTGAAACACGACGAGCCTGACTGGTAGGCTTGGGTGTTGAAACACGACGAGTCCGACTGGTAGGCTTGGGGGTTGAAACACGACGAGTCCGACTGGTAGACTTGGGGGTTGAAACACGACGAGTCCGACTCGCGGTAGGCTAGGGGGTTGAAGTTCGAGTTGTAATAGGCTGCGGAATTCGACGGGTCGTAATAGGCCGCGGCTGCTGCGGCGGCGGAGCTCGTCGAGTTGTCGTAAGGGCTGCGAGATTCTTGAGTCGACTCAAAAGTCGCCTCGTCGTAATGGCTGCGGGACTCTCCGGGGGAAGCAGCTGGGGCGCGCGATAGTTCCTCCGCCGGCGGCCGGGATTGAGCAGGCGCGGGAGAGGGGGAAGGGTTCAAGTTGACGGGAACGACTTCGCAAGGGTGGAGGCTCCGCGGGCGGAGGAGAGGCGTGGATTGGTATGCGGGGTGGTCCGCAATGGAGGACAGGAGAGGCGCGCCGGCGGTTTCGGCCTGTTGAGTGGAAGCGGCACCTATGTGGAGCGATGATATGGGGGAACGGAGGAGCGGGAATGGGAAAAAAAGCAGTTGAACGATCCCTCAATCACTTGAACTCGTTACCTTCCACGATGATTCACCATCATCCCACACTTTTGCGGGCCCGTGGCTCTCCGTTGCCGCGTATCGCCTCTCGTCGTCATTTTACGCCAGATTAACCTTTGGCTCACCTTTCACAAGCCGCGCCTTTCTGTCGCCGCGAATCACCTCGTTAGAACTCGTAACGTCAAATTAACCTCTAGCTCATCTTTCACATGTTGTGCCTTCCCGTCCCCACCTTCACAGAACTTTCTGTCAGATTAGCATATGGCTCACCTTTCACAGGCCGCGCCTTTCTGTCGCCGCGAAAGCAGCTGAAGCAATTGCCCATGGCGGCGTGAACGTAGGAAACTTGAACGTGGCGCGGACAACCTGCTTGCGACCGAGGCTTTAACTCACTGGCGACAACCGTATTTGAGGCGTTTAAACAGATGAATAGTGAAGGAAGCGAGTTTAGCGCGCGAGCAGCATCCTTGCTGAGATTCTAATTTGCTGGCAGCAGCACGGTTGAAATGAGGTGCCTCGAATCGAACGCTGAATGCAGTGAATGTAGTGAGTTGAACGAGCAAGCAGACTCTTCGCTGGCCACAATGGTTGTCACCGACATGTCTCGTCAAACGACTTCTCGCGCGACCGGGCAACACATGAAGCAGCGAGGCCCCAAGTTGGCACCTTCCGTGCTATTCCGGGGCCCCTTCTTGATCTTTTCCCCAACCAAGTCGCATGTGAGAGCGAATTGGGGTGAAGGCTGACAATTTCCGTGGGGAAATGATCAGATTGGGGCCCCGAAGTTCTAGGAATAGAGTCAATTTGGGGCCTCGTGTGTTGCGATGTTTCGAACCTAGTCCGATCCTATCTCTAACCAATTTCGGGCCTCACCCACGCGCTCCGTCAGACCTGACCACACGAGGTGACGGATTTCTGAACGGACAAGCTGGCAAAAAATATAAACCCCATACGAGCATGCATCCAGTCAGGGAGGCATCAACCCTAAACACATTGTCGCATGTTTTTAGGGTTGATGCCTCCCCAATTTTATGCCATCCAATTTGGTTTTATTTTTTTTACCACTACGATAATATTTTGGGGCTAAAATGTTTATTTCTGGGTTATTTTGCTGAATTATCTGTACTGCCCATTTTGAATGGTCTGACGATCACTGCTCCCGTGAACGAGGGTGCTACACCTAGTCCGCGGTATTTTAACCGCCGCTATCTTAACCGCGCGAGGGTAATTCTCATTGGTTAAACTTTTTTTATATGAGTAGTTTTGAAATTAAATGAGGGTATAATATAGCATACCCTTTGTGAAACAAAAGCAGTCAAAACCCGGTCAATGACGATCCGCCCTCTATTTCGGAGCACTAAGTGTGAGTTTCTTTATAAGGAAATTAGTATGGCCGCGAAACAATTGCCTTGAAGTCTCTGGGTGCCCATCTCATTACCTGAAAACGAACAAAGGGTGTTGGAAGCGAAACAGTTCATGGGGTTAAAATACTGCGGACTAGGTGTAGCGAAATCCGTCAAGCCCAAGCCAGCAGGTGGTGACGTGGCGAGCTCGACCTAGCTGCCTAGGCTTGTGGGTGGCTTCGGGCCTCCTTCGTAGGGTCGCTACCCCTGTGGATCCGTTTTCCTTCGAACGCGGGGGGTCTTCAGATCTACTAAATGAGAACCTACATCCGTTTGCTAACACTCAATGTTAATGGTATCAACCATGCATATAAAATGAAATGCCTAAAACAATGGATCTCTTCCCAATTTGTTAAGATTGATATCCTAGTACTTGTAGACACACGATTGACTTCAAACATCCCTAAGCTCACTCTTACTCTTCGCCCCATGGCTGCCGTGCATACTCCCTCCTTTACTCCCTCAACGCACCCAGCACCTGGTGGGATTTCAATTTTGATTTTTAACAAGGCTATTACCATCTCCTCAAATGCACCCTCTCTTGATGGTAGACTTCTCTCGGTCCACCTGAATTACTTACATGAACAAATACGCCTAATTGCAATCTACGCCCCCACCACGACTATCGCTCGTCGAATGTGGTGGCGGTCCATCCTCTCCTCAGCCCTGTATGACCCTTCGACAGCTGCTTTCACTATCGTCACGGGCGATTTCAACTCGGTTGACTATGCTTCTGATCGCAATCACCCGTTGCATGGGCATGAGCGCAGTGAAGCAACTTTCTTTTCCACCCTCATGGTACATCACTCCCTCGCCGATTCCTTCCGTCTCCTTCACCCCACTGTCACAGTCTTCTCGTTCTTCAGTCGGCAACGATCCACTGCCTCCCCTTCAGCACCCCCTCTTGCAGCCCGCCTGGACCGTACCTATATATCCCGCACCGCGCAACACCGACTCTCTGCCACCCCCTACATTCTAACTCCCTCTGGAGTTTCTGATCATGCCTTGGCTCCAATTTGCTCACTCCTGTTTGATAATCCAGCGATCACCCCAAGGCTCTGGTGCCTTAGCACGTCCCTGTTATGCCGACCTAAACTCCCTCGCCTCATCGATGAATATCTCAGTCTCCTCCCTCCCTCTCTCACCCCTATCGACTTGGACCTTTGGAAATACAGCCTCTGTCTTGCCTTCAAACGTTTTTCTTCCTACGAACGACGACGAGTCTCTAAGACTATTGACCACCTACGTGAGCGAACCTGCACCTTGCAGCTCCAACTAGCTACTCATCTGTCAGACACTTTAATGACAAACTCCCTCCTACGTGCTAAACAACAACTTGTTTCGTATGAGGCGTCGAAAACGGCAGAAGTGGCCCTCAAGGCGAAACTCAAGGTTGAAAGTCATCGAGAAATGGGGCTCTCTTCCCTTCTCGTAGGTCTTGGCTCGCACACCAAAGCTTCTCTCATTTCGTCTATCACCATGCCGAATGGACAAGCAACTTCGGACCTGCCAACAATGACCATGATTTGCACCAACTTTTTCAACTCACTTTAAGCGTATGCACCTCAATTTCGAGGGATGCCTCCTTTTGGCAACACATTTCTCGTACACATCTTTCCTCCTCTCTCCTCGCCCATCTTGTCGCCCCCATCTCTCTTCTAGAAGTTGGAACAGCCATCTCCCAACTCGAACGAGGGAAAACCCCAGGCCCTGACGGCCTCTCGGGTGAGCTGTACAAGCAATACAAGCCCAGATTTGCCCCAGTCTTCCACTCGCTCTTCAACCCAGCGACCCCGTTCACATCCCTGCCCCCTTCCATGCTCCGTGGTCGCACTGTCCCTAAACCCTAAAAAAAGGAGACTCCTCCCAGCCAGATAACCTCCGCCCAATCACTCTCATGAATGCCGACTATAAAATTCTCGCGCTGTGCCTCGCCAACAGACTTCAACGTGTATGATTCACCCTTCCCAAACGGCGTTCATTCAGCACCGGAAAACTGGGGATACCATCAATGATACTCTCGACATTATGGACTGGGCTTTGTTCACCAATGCACCCCTCCTAGTCCTCACGGTCGACCTGCGTAAGGCCTATGATTCTGTGGATCGTCTATTCCTTCTCTAATGCCTTGCACATTTGGGTGTTCCCGAAGCCTTCATCCACTGGGTCCGCCTTATGCACACTGGCACATCTACGCCCATCTCAGTAAATAACAATGAAGGACCTCTCTGAGAAGAAACGAGAATGAATGAACTATGAAAGAAGTGGGTACAAGTACTAACCCTAATTGGGTTGTACCCCTTATGGGATACCCCACTACAACCTACACAAATGTATAAGCTATATAATGTTCCGACAAACCCCCATAGGCAAAGTGGGGGAGAACAAGGGGTCAGAAGACCAGTCAAGCAAAGCAAAGCAAAGCAAGCTCAGGGTGGATCTCAAGTCACCACACAGTCCGAGCACAAGGTCAAGGCCACAAGGCCAGTTCACATGCAGGAGTACACATATATATAAAGCTAGACAAGCAAGAGAAGGCATATATATATGTAACAGTACAAGCAAGGTCAAGAGGTGAGCAAGTGAGGCAAGACAGGCACAAGACCCAGCTGAGTGCAGAAGCGCTGATGATCACAAGGCGCAAGAGCCTTGGTGAAAACATCAGCAGTGTTGGCCTCAGAGGCCACGTACGCAAGCCGCAACTGACCACGCTGCTGCAGCTCACGAGCAAGGAAGTAGCGGAGAGCAATGTGCTTTGTTCTGTGCTCCAGTCTCTGCTCTCGACACAAGGCCAGCATGGCCTTGTTGTCTACGTACAGAACAGGAGGAGAACGAGGCGGCTCTCCGAGGTCAGTCAGCAGGTAGGTGAGCCAGCGAAGCTCCTGTGCAGCCATGGACCCTCCGTAGATCTCGGCCTCACAATTGGAGCCGAGAACAGAAGACGAGCGAGTAGCCCGCCACGAAACAGAGCCGGAACCAAGGCTGAAGGTGTAACCCTGTGACGACCGCTGCGTAGCCTGGTCGTCAGCCCAAGACGCGTCTGCGTGCCCAGTGAGGACCACTGGACTCCGCCCTCCAAGCACTAGCCCCATGCCCAACGTACTGCACAAGTAGCGCAACACCCTCTTTGCTGCAGCCATGTGCTTTGGTCGGTGTCTCCCAGGAGCAACATAGCGTGCGAGAATGCTAAGAGGGTATGCAAGGTCAGGTCATGTGCAGGTCATCAGGTACATGAGGCAGCCAACAAGCTCTGGATACGGGCCACTCGACTCTACGGACTCATCCGAAGGCAGTGCTGAGAGTGAGGGGCGAGTAGGCAGAGGAGTGGCCTGAGGCGAGGAGTACGTGAAGCCGAAGCGCTGAAGGACCTGCTGCACCATGTGTGACTGTGACCGCGATCTGGACAGGCAGTGGACACTCCAAGGGAGGAGGAGGAACAGTAGAAGGCGGAAGACCAAGAACCTGCTGCAGGAGCGGAACGAAGTACGTTCGAGGCCGCGCGGCGACTCCAGACACAGCAGGGACAGCACCAGTACCCCCAGCAGGAGCACCAGCGCCAGCAGAACCTCTAGCTCCAGCAGCACCAGTAGCACCCCCAGCAGGACCGCCAGCAGTAGCCTCAGGGCCAACACCCTCAGTAGCTCCAGCCCCAGTCATACCCGCAGGCCCAGCAGCTACAATACTCCCAGTACGAGCACCTCCGGTACCCGCGACACCAACACCCTCAGTAGCCGAAGAACCTCCAGCTCCAGCAGCACGGCTCCAGCGCCGGGCAAACCACTCGCGCAGCTCCTGTGGAGAGAGTGGCTCGCGCCGAGACGAAGCACCCGGAGAACCTCCAGGCGTAGCACCTCCAAGCTCAGCACCTCCAGGCTCAGCACCCCCAGGTGTAGCACCCCCAAGCACAGCACCCCCAGGCTCA